TGCTTTTTTTTGTGAAGTCTCAAGACACCTGAAAAGATAATGCCCAATGATAAGATAGTAATTTTGGGGAACTTGTTAGTTCTCCCAGTTCTATTTCTCTCCTGCAGCTGTGAAGCCTATTTTGTCTTTCTTTTGAAGATACATTGTGCATACTTCAATGGGGTACTTTTTAATCTTTAATTGAAAAAGTCCAGTCTCAGTTTAAATACACAATAAAACATACATTTGGTCTTCCAGCTTATCCTCAGCATTGTTCATTACCAGGTTGTGCACCACTCTGCCCCAAATAAACACCTTGATAATATGTGAAGCATATGGTTTGTGAAGGGTATCCTAGCAGCTGGGTCAAACTGCTTGTTTCCACCACCATTGCCAGCTTCGCTTCTTACTCAGTCTCTCTTCCTCAGCTGTTCTTTGTGCCACAGCTTAGGTACTTCCTTGACTTCAGGGAGCAAATTGCTTATTAAGTAGCTAATGTTCATTGACTATTTTGAGGCTGTTGAGTGTTAGAACCTCTGTAAATTACTGTTTTGTTTATACAAGTGGCTCATCAGGCTCCCAAATGAGGGGTTATATGAAGCGAATGTGTGGGAGAGAACAGCACAACCATTTCTAGCATTGCAATGAAAAGTGTATTCTTTCTAGCTTGCTCCAACTACCTGTGCAGGTTTCTTTGCAGTGCTGTGTGTAGCATCTGTGAGAATATTTTTGCCAGCAGTGTCACTATGGGATTTCTTAATCATTCTACCCAAAAAAAGCCAAGTTTACTTAAAGTCAGCTAGTAACCATTTTAACATTTATTATGCCTGCAATAACTGGGGAGAGGAAGAAATTTAGAAATTTGTGACCAATGAGCCAGCAAAATAACACAACCCTATGTTATCTCTGTGCTCTGATCTCCCTTGAAAGCAAGGAATGGTCACTATGCTCAGTCAGATTTTTAAATGCATTTTTCAAAGTGTCAGACACAGAAAAAGCATTCACTGCATCAACTCACCAGCTGCAACCTTTGTGAGGGTGCAAACTCTACCTGCCAAGGCAAGGAAGGTACATGTGTTCTCAGGCATTGCCTGGCCTGGGTGTACCTCTCCTTTTCCTAAGCACCAGAATTTAGGCATCTTTCTACACATGCCCCTGGTCCAGAAGGTTTTTCATAAAGCTGCCTAAGGCTCGATTCGGCCCCTGTAATTTCTTCTGGGCTTGTTGCTGTCAGCCCAAGGCATTAGCAAGCTCTGTTGCTAACAGCTTGCCCTGGAGCTGCTTTATCCCAGCACCTTGCTTTGCACTGCATGTTGAATCTAGGGCTCTGAACTGCCACCGAGGACTCATGATAAGCGAAGATACCACACAGAGCCAGCACAGCAACAGAAAGAGGGAGTCTGACTCTGTTGCTCAATGGTTAGGTAAATCAGCAGGGATAGCGCATTTCTTTTTTCCTTTTTTTTTTTCTTCAATGTTGAGTCTAGATGTGATCTCAGCCCACGAGTACATTCGTTTCCAGGTATCAAGCCACATAGCGTTAAAGGGCAGATTCAACAAACCTACCTTGAGTAATGTAGAATTCAAGAGAAGTGCAAGTTACTAACTGAAGACAGCTGTCCTTCATCCAGGTCAGAGGAGAAACCTTGCTCTTTCTCCTTGCAGCATGCACTGAATCCAGGGCATTGGTTAAGCTGGAATTAATGGCAAAACAGTGAGGGTCTGTGTCAAGCTGTCACAGCTCTTGGCCAATATTTTCTTTTGAAACTCAGATAGTGTTGTGTGTCAAACATGCCCAGAAAACAGTGAAGATTGCTGCTTGAACTAGGAAACAGATTTTTTTATGAGCTTCGCTATTCATTCAAACATCACACAGTTGCTTGATGAGGCTTAAATCATACTTCGCTAACTGAATTCACCAAGGAAGGTGCTCACTGCTGTAAAGGGAACTCAAACATAGACCATGCATCTGTCAAGGAAACATTAAGCATCTGTTGCATATCCCAGTCCCTCTCCCTTCCCAAGTTTCAACAT